ATCCAAACGTGGGACTTTCGTTGGATAGGTCTCATTGGAGTTCCAGTTGAGTTTTTCCATGGAGTCGTCTCAACCATGGGAGAGACACCAGGAAGCTTCCCGAGAGTTATATGATAGGATCGTTGAACAGAATCCTTATGTGGATGTTCTTGGATGTGATATTTGTATGTTATGCATTTTATATGATGATCATTGTTTGCACATTGAGTGAGTCATGGGGTGAAGTGATCCTCTAGTACCCTTGGTTTACTAAGATATATTTGTATATTTCACCCCGCGTTTGGAAACATCATTTCAGGTTCTAGTGAGCATGGAGGATCTTCGGGCAAGAGGCCTGCACAGAGAAGACGTTGATCATGATGTACATAAGGAGAGCATAGCAATTTGGAGAGATGTATTTGATGCACATAGCATTGTATCTAGCATTTTAGACTTAGGTCATGAACATATTGCATGTTGTTATTGCCATGCATTTGGGTGTTCATGACAAGTTTCTAAGTCTATGTAGTTGATATATATTTATGTCTCTTGTTTATATTGACATTTTGGTGAGCATGGGACTTGTCCATGGCCGCACATGATATTTTGAGGCATTTGGAGACTTATTGTTGTAAATGAGCCATATGATGTGTAAATGGAAAAGAAAGGACAAATATTGTAATTGATACATTAGACAAGGTTTATGCATGATGGAATGGCCTAGAGCCTATATTAGTAATTGTACATGTGCTATATTGAGTAATAAAGGTTTAGGATTGAGATAATTGATCCCTTTTGAAGTCAAAAAGCTGTCAAATTGTGATTTCACAATAGGGGAATCGATTACCTTCCGTATGGGAATCGACTCCCTGAAACAGGGGACGCAGAATTCAGCTACTGCGAAGTCTACGAATCGATTACTTTTGGGATGGGAATCGATTTCCTAGTTCAAGAATCGATTACTTTTGTGATGGGAATCGATTCCTAAAAATAGGGGAGCCAAAATGGAGCTACTGACTTCTATAATAACGTGCTGGGAATCGATTTCCTGCAGTACGGGAATCGATTTCCTGCAGTACAGATTTGAAAATGATATTGTTTTACAACCCGGAATTGATAGTATTTCTAAGTAATGTTATCAGGAATAAGTATTTTGCTTCCGCAAGTTTTGCAATTATAATTACAGTGTTGTTTTTAATTTATTATGAAAATGGTTAATGGTTAATAACAAGGAGTTTCAAAAAGGAAAATGTTTACCCGTAATTTAATTAACTCAATTATTGTGATTGTAACTACGATTAATACCATATGCAATGATAACATTATCGGTACGTAACGGGCTGTTACACTTCAGAAGGAGGTGATGGTTGTGACAGGAGCGCGTCTCAAATCCCAGTATACCTTGAACCGGTGGAGTCTCAAATCCCGCAACTTAATGACATAGGCTCTGCACTATTAGCAGAACATCATGAAGGTATTTTACTGAATAACTCGTACTTGTTTTTATCTTTAAATAATGTATTAACAAGTTTTAATTCATATATGCAGGTGACGATGTTGTTATTCCTTTTTGGGAAGAAATTCCATATTACACACATATTGATTGGAGTTATCGGAGCGAACAAGAATCATGCACTGATTGTTCAGTTTCGGGATCGGGATCAATACAAGGTCTGTGGCAACTGGGTGACAAGTTATTTGTGAACCAGAAATTTGCAACGAAAAAGGAGGTTCAAATGGCACTGAAGATCAACCTCATGAGGGAGCATCAAGATGCAATTGTGATTAAGAGCACGCCTACAAAGTTAAGCATGAAATGTTGCGCGTATGATACGAGTTGCCCATGGCGCGTTAGGGCAATAAAACCAGTGTTTGGTAAAAATTGGAAGATTACCAGATGGGATGGGGATCACAATTGTTTGAATGATCATATTTCTCAGGGTCACAGACAAATGTTGATGTCATTGCGGAGCTCGTCCTAGGTACGTATTTCGTGTTAATGTATGCAACTTTGAAAGAGGTGTTATTGCTTATATAGGTTAATCTTAATGTGTATGTAACGTCTTCATTGCTAGGGATGATAAGGGAAGAACCATCAATCTCTATTGCACTGGTTCAAGAAAGGATCACCTCTAAATATGGATTCAAAGTTTCGTACAGAAAGGCATGGTATATGAAGCAGAGAGAAATTGCAATGATGTATGATGATTGGGAGGAACCATATGCTTTTTTACACAGGTGGTGTGAATACATGCTTCGCTTCTCGCTAGGTTCTTTTTATCATATTCAAACAAATGATTATATGTGGTGCATGGAATAGTTCCTGGAAAATGCGTGTTTCATATCTTCTGGACGTTTAGGCAGTGTTGCGAGGCATTCAATTTGCTAAACCAGTCATACAGATTGATGGCACTCATTTATATAGGAAGTCCAAAGGCAAATTGTTGGTTGCCACGACCAAAGATGGAAATGAAGAATGTTTACCCTTTGCATTTGCCATTGTTGAAGGTGAGACCTTGGAAGCCTGGGACTAAGTTCTTGTTAATATTGGTGCTCATGTTACACAAATGTCAAACATATGCCTCATCTCCGATCGACATCGTAGCATAATATCTGCTGTGGAGAATAACCGTAAATGGTAGCCACCAAATGCATGTCACATGTTTTGTATTCGTCATATTGCAAGCAACTTCAATCAGAAGTTTCAAAACGAGAGATTGAAGCGGACATTAAAGAATTTAGGTATTTTTGCCTCAACTGTAATTATCCTCGAATGTAGATCCGGTAACGGCTTGCTCGTCATTAGGCAATCCCTGTATACCGGCAACATCCTGCAAGGTGATATCACCTTCTATCATGTGAAATATATGTGTCTCTGGTCTCCACCTCTCGACCAGAGCACTAATCAATGTGACATCAATCTAAAATACATAATACAATTATCACATGGTATGTCGTTATATTGAATAACTATATAAAATGTTACATCGTCAAGTGCATACCTGAACATGTCGCATGCGTGCAACATGTATAAATTCAACCTATGTCAGGTAATCGACGACCACATCTAGAATAGCGCTGGCAGGTTGCCCCTTGTACCTTACCGTGCCGGGTCTATAGCTGACGAACATGCTTCGTATTCCACACCCGCTGTGAAATATTGGCACTCTGCATCCTCTTCTGAAGGACCTCTCACCTATATGGCTCAGGTATGATATACATATTAGGACCGGTAGGCTCTACCTCATGATCAGCTACAGAACCCCCAGATGATGATGAATCAGTCAGGATAAAAACCTATACAAAGTTTTAAATTTATTGCAACCGTTAATTTATAATGAAATTATACATACAAGTGTAATACAACATTGAAAATAATTTACAAAACAACTACTTACAACATGTAACAGTAACATTTATTTTAAAATTAATTAAGCAAATTGCTAATTCACTATCAAACTTATTAAGCAAATACCCTACAGCACTAATTCATTCGCAACTAAATAATATTATCATGCCTAGGTCATTAATTCATTCGTAAGTAATCAATTGGTACAAATAATCTAAGCATGTTCCTAACAATTTTATAATAAAGTGTATTAATTTGTTATTAATTAAAAATAATACCTAGGACACTAATTAATTCGTAATTAAATAATAATAATAATAATAATACTTAGTCACTACAACATTCCAAAGTCACTACAGTCTACAGCATTCATAACTCAACAAAATTTCTCTGTCACTACAAAATTTCTAAGTCACTCTAACAGTTTCCTAAGTCACTAATATACCCTAAACCCTAACATATTCTTAATATAGCACTGTAATTTAAATATATACATAGCACGTATTAAAATATTACTTTTGATAGTAGAGCTTCGCTACGCAAATTTTTACATAATGTAAAGAGCACAATCATCTTAGAGAGGTAAGCAAATTTTCACATAATGTAGAAAACAAATCGTCGTAGAGAGAGATTACAGTGAAAGTGTAAAACGGTAAAAATGAAAAATTTGGGATTTGTATAGGCTGCTTGAGACACGCCCTTTTAGACGTCACATGTCACGCTTGATTTGGGCATGACCCACCAAGCAGTGATACCATGTTTAGGCGTATGTAATAAATGCATACTTAATTTCAAAATAGTTATAAATTTGTAATTTTTTATTTAAAATACAATAAATTAATTTCTTTTCTCCAGATAATACAGTGTTACAGTTTTTTAACGGGATCGAATTTGAGCTCAAAAAATCTTCAGCTTTTCCTTTGGTACATCAAAAAATCTTCTACTTTCTGATACAACGAAAATCTACTCTCCCTTAAAATTTCTGACTTCTGCACTCAAAGTGGCTAGGTGGAGTACATGTCAAAAGTTTCTTCTGCCTCAGAAAAAACTTTCGATATCTTTTTATATTTTTAAATTTGTTCAATGTGAATAGTCAAGTGTGCCAAGCAAGTCTCGCACGTATATTATACTGTACGCAACTTATTTGACAAATTCATGGCAAATGCAGAACTGATCTTGTATGCACATTACATTAGAAAAACTTACCATCCAATGTGCATTTATCTGGACAAATATTTTTGCCCACGGTGCTTTTGCACTTGCTTGACGAGTCCCGCATACGATAAGCACCCCACTCTGAACAACAACGGAACTAGAGGCCCGAACTCACTCCAAACAATGATGAAACTAAAGCCCGTAAATGCTCAGATTCTGAAACGTTGAATTAACGTAAATTTTTTTTTAAAAAAATGTTATAGAATGTCCCATATTTATGTTGACAAGAATCAGAAACAAAAGCAGGTTGCCCGTTCAATTGTCCAATGAATATCTTCAAGACAAAGAACTATCATCCAAAGTTCAATCTCCGAAATTTTCTGCTAAAAAACTCGCAAGACTAAAATTAAATCCAATCACCCACCAAAGAAAACATAAAGACAGTCGCGACTATGAAACGCCTCTTATAAAACAATAAGTTAACACAACTCAAAGTCTCAAACCATACCAGAAACAATGAAAATCAATAAACCAAGGCATCTCATAAGGCAGGTCGCAAAGATCTAACATGTAATTGACGAAAAACACAACAAACTTGTCTGATTATAAGCTAATTATTCAGAAGTTTTTGCCTATGAGCTACTAAAATTCAAAGATATGTCCAGAACTATACAATCCATAAGAAACTTGAATATTACTGAAAGCCTAGAAACACGATATGTATTCCTAAAACAACGAAAATAGAAACTAATCCATTATCCATTATAGCCTAAGCACGTTCCCCTCGGATTCTGCGTGCAAGTTGAATGTCTTTGGGCATGATGGTCACCCTCTTGGCATGGATAGCACACAAATTGGTGTCCTCAAACAGACCAACCAGATAGGCCTCCGCAGCTTCCTGAAGAGCAAGAACAGCATGGCTCTGGAATCTCAAATCCGTCTACAAAAACACAAGAAACCAAAACGTGTTAGTCTTGGTTCTACCTAGACTATAGAAAATTACCAGAAATTGAATGTTTAACAAGTTGTGCACTATTGGGTCATTACCACTTTATATATTTAAAAATCAATAAATATATTCTATTTTTCATATTTATTCAAGAGAAAGATGCAATGAAACAAAGAAAGATAAACATAGTCCTCAAAAAAAGGTTTTGAACATTGTTCTGGATGGCCCAAGTACTGGAGTGACAACCCAAGTACTGAAGTGGCCCAACTACTCAGGCCCAACCCTCAGCCTTGTTCCGCGTCAGCCCTTAGGGCTGATGTGGACCCTCACGATCTCCAAGACTGCAGCACGTCCAAGAGATACACCAAAATGTCCCGAAGTGGGACAATAACCGCTAAAAACAGTCGCCATAAGCACAGCAAAGGAATCTGCCCCTTTGTTCAGTGCTGACATCGCCGGGTGCAGTGGTTGCAGCACTGCCATTGTGGCAGCGCCAACCACACCTAACACTGCCATCATGGGCGTGCATCCCAAGAAATGTTGACCCCCCAGTGCTGACATCGCCGGGTGCAGTGGTTGCAGCACTGCCATTGTGGCAGCGCCACCCACGCCTAACAATGCCATCATGGGCGTGCATCCCAAGAAAGGTTGACCCCCCACCTCACCAACCCGTATCATCTTCCTTATAAATAGCCCTCGGGGGGCACACCAGAAGGAATCTTTGATGTACTGTTGTTATGCCCATTTACTTCCAAATCATACTCTTGTTATTTATCTGTCATTGATATCAGCTTGCTACCTCTTGGAATAATACCTTCTAGCCTGGTCTTTACCTCAACTAAGGGTATAATCCATATAATAACATTACCCTCAAGGGTACATAGTGGGCTCACAGAACTGAACGGTACATTGGCGCTGTCTGTGGGAACGATAAACTTCTATTCCCATTCCTTTACCCAAAGATCCATCTGACGGGTCATTTCCTCTTACAAACAAACAACCGCCAGACACTTTTTACAACTCTACATGGTTGTCACCACCAGGAGAGCAGAGCACGCCAGGGCCATGACGCCAGAAGGACACGTACAGACAGTACAACCAAGCTCCCCTCCATCCATGCATTCAGCCCCAGCAGAGCGGGCCGCTAGCGAAGTCCAACCTACGGTAATTCAGACCATAGGCCCACAGTTGCCAATGAATGGTGCTGGGATCGCCCTGCAACATCATCAAGCACCCACGTGCGAGATGCAGGGAGAAAATTTAGTCCTAAACCAGCCACCTCCCCCCGGAGTCCATTTTGGAATGCCATTTCCAGCAGTTGTCCCACGACCTACTTATCTCACCCGTCCTCCGTTACCAGCCCAAAGTCAACCACTACCAGTATATCATGACCGCCACTACCAGTATATCATGACCGCCAAATACCAACGGTGGCCCCGTACCTTCCTAGACCTTAGACGCCTACCGTGGCGTTTCCTTTTCAACCACCTTACCAAGCTGGTTTCCCTTTCCATGGCTACGCCTTGCAACCCCATAACGCAACCGTTCCACAACCTCAGGCATCAGGCCAGAATCCTAACCAACAACCATATGGCGCTCAACAGGCTTTCCACCAAGCCCCAGCCCTCTCTTACTCCGCTGAAGCTTCTCAAATGCCTCGTCCACACCAAGAACATATCAGACTAACGCCTGCCCACACGTCAGGGCGTAACAAGCCTTTGACCGATAACCTGAGGCTACCTGCCATACCCTTAGGTTTCAAGGGTCTCTCTAACATCACCACATATATTGGCGTTACAGATCCATTTGAGTGGATCCAAAAATTCGAAGCAGCAATGACACTCCACGGCGAAACGGATTTACTCATGTGCCAAACTTTCCCAACATTGTTCGGGTACTTTCCCATGCGGAAACTTCTCAATCCCAGGAACTAAGGGACAACTTTGGGTGCAACTAGCAAGATACTCTCGCACTGCTGGACCCACCGCACTATTCCTCAGTGCCTCAAAGGCCTCGTCAAACTCCTCTTCCTTGATTTCTACTTCCGATTCAGGAAGTATGAGACCTGGGATAGGTTCTGTAAACCTAACCATCAATACAGCAAAAAAAGGAGTAGAAGACAATCAGAAATGAGAATAGAAACGACGAGAAGAACTATACCTGAGAATCGCAGAAAGGGAGAGAAAGAAGACTGACACTATCACACCAAACTGAGGATAAGGAACAAAGGCTTTAAGCAAAGCATAACAATGTAGGTTTCGTGTAAGAAAGAGCCCCAACAAAGGGGGTCCCCCCCTTTTTATAAAAAAAAGGGGGAAAGAGAAAGGTCTCACACAGACACGTGTAAGGAAAGAAAGAGGTCTCACACAGACACGTGTAAGTCCTCCTCACTTAACCGTACGATGACACGCTCATCGTGCGATGGGCGGTTAAGGAGAGAGGGCAAAATGGTCACTTCAAAGGGACAAGTCACCAGTTGATGTCGCATTAATGCGTCGAACCCTATGACATTTGGATTCCTGCAATAAATAGTAATGATGGGATAACCCATCGTTACGGCTCCTCGGAAACCGAAAAGCCTCTTAAAGTTTCTTTAAGAGGCAGCCTTTTCGCTTCCGTCACCTATCAATCCCCGTTATCAATGACCGTCTTACAACTATCACCTAAAACAATAGCCCGTGCTCAAGCATTTCACATCGCCAAACAACGCGTCGCCAAATCCTAACTATCAAGGCTCCAACTTATGCTTATAACCAGGATGGTGCTCATGGCGCCAAGGCAATTTGTAGTCATTTCCCTCTTGAAGGACGCCCCAATAGAGCGCCAGTAATCTCCCTCTTGAAGGACGCCCTAATAGAGCGTCAGTATTTCCCTCTCGAAGACGCTTTAGTAGAGCGCCGGTTTCACAACGCCCTGACGGGAACGACCAAAGTCTTTAACTTGGCACCATCCCACGGTTGCTGCCAAGTTGCGGGGGCTCCTGTTCTGGATGGCCCAAGTACTAGAGTGACAACCCAAGTACTGAGGTGGCCTAACTACTCAGGCCCAACCCTCAGTCTTGTTCCGCGTCAGCCCTTAGGGCTGATGTGGACCCTCACGATCTCCAAGACTACAGCACGTCCAAGAGATACACCAAAATGTTCCACTTCGGGACATTAACCGCTAAAGACATAAGCACTGCAAAGGAATTTGCCCCCTTGTTCAGTGCTAACATCACCGAGTGCAGTGATTGCAGCACTGCCATTGTGGCAGTGCCAACTACGCCTAACACTGTCATCATGGGCGTGCATCCCAAGAAGGGTTGACCCCCACATCATCTTCCTTATAAATAGCCCTCATGGGGCACACCAGAAGGGATCTTTTATATACTATTGTTATGCCCATTTACTTCCAAGTCATACTCTTGTTATTTATCTGTCATTGATATCAGCTTGCTACCTCTTGGAATAATACCTTCTAGTCTGGTCTTTACCTCAGCTAGGGTTATAATCCATATAATAACATTACCCTTTTGAGAATCTCTGAACTTATCAAGGGCATCAATCCTTATGGCGTTCCTGGACTTATCAATTCTTTGGAATTGTGGCGCCTACCTATAATCCTTAAACTCCAATTTCGTTCTATATTATCTTGGATTCATATCTCCCGAATTCCTTATCCTTTTCCGGTGATTCTTGTGCCAAAATCGTGATTCAGGAAGCCATCTTTCACCTCGTTTTGCAATCACCCAAATTCGAGGTCCATAGCGTGAGATACGTTCTATTTTTAACAAAACAATACGTGTTGGAGGCTGAATTTGGAGTTATAATTTTCCATTCCTAGTAATCCATTCCTCCAATCCTATGGGGATCATATCATATGGTATACATAATGGGCTCACAGAACTGAACGGTACAAACATTATACATACCTTAAAATCCTGAGCAATTTCACGAACAAGACGCTGGAAGGGAAGCTTACGGATCAAGAGTTCAGTACTCTTCTGGTATTTTCGGATCTCACTGAAATCACGCAGAAAAAGAAAAATCAACACTCCACAAATAAAGAGATAGAAAAAAAAATGCGGAAAAATTAGGGTTGGTAATTAATTACCGAAGAGCAACAGTTCCAGGGCGATAGCGATGAGGCTTCTTAACTCCACCGGTTGTAGGAGCAGATTTTCTTGCGGCCTACGCAAATCACCAACAACAACACGATAAGAAAACCATAAAACATGTTTACGAAGAAATCATGGAGAATTAGCAACAAGAATAGGTTGTAAATTGAATTGAAGAGGAGAAACCCTAATCGAAACGCACCTTGGTAGCGAGTTGCTTCCTAGGAGCCTTTCCACCTGTGGATTTACGAGCGGTTTGCTTAGTACGAGCCATTGAGCAAGATCACACAGAACAAGCGCAGAAAATAAGAAAAAAGATTGAAGATTGGGATTTTTTCTCTCTCTCTCTCTCGAAACTACGACAGAACAATCTCGGATTAGGGTAGCAGAGGAAACGGTTTTTCTTTTATATGAGGTTAGGTCGGTTTAATTGGAATGGGAGACCGTGGACTTCAACGGCAATTAGAATTAAAAAAACACAAAATGTTAATCCGTGCGCTTGTTTCTAATTGGTTCGTTAAGAGAGTCAAGGATTGCCAGCGTGGAAGATTTGTGTTTCTTTTGTGAGAGCCCTTTGTTTCTCTATTTACAAGTTTATCGATTTCCTTTTGCTATTTTAGCATCCAATCCAACAAGGTTACGTACTTGTTTAGAGATTATGAATAAAAAAATCAATTTTTTTAAAAAATTCAGTTATGTGATTAATAACAGAAAAAAACTTCATTCAATATTTTTTTTTTATTTAATTATTTACAGGCACAGATTTATCAAAAAAAAAATTGAAAAAATCACTGTATTTGAATTGGCATTTTTTATTCAAAATCAAAATAAACCAAAAAAAAAATTAGCATCAGCGTTGACTTTAAATAAAATTAAAAAAACAGTATTCAAATTTTTTATGAAAATATTAAATTTTTCGTAAGGCATTTTAATTAAAGTCATTATTTCTTATTTAATATTTAAATTTAAAAATAATGTTTCACTTTCTCCTACCATAATTTATATTTCTCTCATTATAAAGTACAATAATTCTAATTAAAATAACACAAATTTATATCTTTTAAAGGTCAAATACTAATACCAATTTTAATAGATCCAACTAATTTAATTTTTTTTATTTCTAAAAGTTGAAATCTTTTAAGTATCCCCAAATAATATGTTGATATATCGTTAAAATATTAGAATTCTCAAATAGTAGTCGTATAAAATTTTTAAAGATTTAATTTAATATAATTATTATAATACATTCACAATATATCAAAATCATACTAACATATCTGATAATAATAGAGGTGTTCGCGGTCTGGATTGGAACGGTTTTGAAAGCAAAAATCATCTGATCCAATCCCTTTGGTTCGATCATATAATTATCCATTCGGTTAGGATTTTTTTTCAAATCCGATCCGATCCAATCCAATTTTTTCCAGTTTGGATTGGATTGGATCGGTTCTCAGTTTTTTGAAAATCCTAAAATTTATTTCATGATTATTGTGCAAATAACATCTTTTGTATATATTGGCTTTGTAATTTTTTTTTTAAATACATAAGCATTAGTAAACTATAATATAATTTTTTTTTGGACAATGAGATATGAAGCTCTACAAAGATAAAATTTTGTTGATGAGATGTGACTAGATTTTTTCTTGTGTTTAGTTGATGGGTTTATGAGTCTTGGGTTTAGAAATTTTTAGGTTATGATTAAAGAAAAACCCAAATAGGTACAGAGAAATTAATATATTGGATCAGTTTGGATTAGATCGATTTTCATCAACCCATCCAAAAGCCGATCCAATCCAATTAAAATTTACGATTTTTTTTCGATTTTCGATTTTTCGGGTTTCGGTTTATTCGGTTATCAGTTTTTCGGTTCGGTCACCACGATTTGAATCGGTTTAGATTAGTTAATGAGCACCCATAGACAATAATTCTCATATGATTACAATTTGTATCTTTTGTCTATGATATAAATAGATAAAAATACTCTTTTAAAGACATAATAATATGATGGGTTTTCGTTTTATCCTTTAACATAACACAACAAACTTTTCTACACTCACAACATTTTGTGGGGCCCACACTTTTTAAAACAAAAAAATAAATAAAAAATTAAGGCACGCAAAACGAATCTCTATAACATTACACAATCATTTTTCCTACAACATAACTCTTATAAAACCCTAATATGAATTGTATCTTTCTAAAAACATATTTTTGTCCCATAATTTCTTGAGTTATCTAATTTGTCTTTTAACCTTTTCATAATCTGAAAATTTTCAAAGTTAGTAAATTAGCATAACGTTTTTTAAAAGCCAGCGTGAAAGCATAACGTCTTTTCTTCATTAATTAATTAATAATTATTTTGTCTCTTATTCAAAATTATCTACCAATCTGTCCCTATTTAATCGATTAAGTTAAAGATTTAATCGATTAAATGGTCAAAACTAAAAAAAAAATTTATTGACTTGAAGATTTAATCGATTAAATCTTCAACTTAATCGATTAAATCTCCTTCTTAATTGATTTAATCGATTAAAACCCATATTTAATCGATTAAATATCCCAGACGAGCGTGAAAGCATTGATTGAATGAGACTAATGCGGTATTGGAGGTTATTTGAATTTAATGTAATAAGAGTTAATTGCGATTTGTATTTAATAGGAGCTGATTGCGTCCTATTATATTCACAATCAGTTTTCCATTTGAATTTTGTATTTAATAAAGCTGATTACGTCCTATTAAATACAAAATCCTATTAAATTATTTTATTTTGATAAAAAAAAAATTATAAAAAATTGATGCCGAACCCAACGAGATTAGTCTAGTGATTAAGAAAATATAATTTCAATCTCTGTTTCATATAAAAAAATATTTTATCTGTACTATCAATAGCCAGCGAAAGACAAGGTTTGTAACTAGTTCTTAGTGCATCAATTGAAAACCTTGAGAATCTCTATTGTACGTTATGTGATTTTCTTTTGGTACAAGTAATGGACACAGTCAAAAGATTTTGCGTTTTGTATTAAATATTTACAATATTTTTTCATTTGAATTTTGTATTTAATAAGAGCTGATTGCGTCTTAATATATTCATAATCAATTTTTCATTTGAATTTTGTATTTAATAGGAGCTGATTACGTCATATTAAATACAAAATGCAATCAGCTCCTATTAAATTCAAAACACAAATAGAAAACTGATTGAATTTTGAGTTTGAATCTTGAATATAATGTAATAGGAGCTGATTGCGTTTTAAATTTAATAAGAGCTGATTGCATTTTGTATTTAATAGGAAGCGATCAGCTCCTATTAAATACAAAATTCAAATGGAAAACTGATTATGAATATAATAGGACGCAATCAGCTTCTATTAAATACAAATCGCAATAACTCCTATTACATTAAATTCAAATAACCTCCAATACCGTGTTTGTGTCATTCAATCAATGTTTTCACGCTCATTTGGGATATTTAATCGATTAAATATAAATTTTAATCAATTAAATCAATTAAGAGGGAGATTTAATCAATTAAGTTGAAGATTTAATCGATTAAATCTCCAAGTCAACAATTTTTTTCAATTTTGACCACTTAATCGATTAAATCTTCAACTTAATCGATTAAATAGGGGCAGATTGGTAGATAATTTTGGATAAGGAACAAAATGGTTATTAATTAATTAATGAAGCGCAAAATGGTCAAAAACCCTGACACTATGGATTAATTATATCTAATCTCATGTTGCACTAATAATGTCTTGACACCTAAGGGGGTGTATTGGATTATGATTTTAAAAGATTTTTTTTGAGATAAAAAATATTATAGGTTTTAAAAGACTATTCCGAATTAAAGAGATTTTAAAGACTTTTTTTACAATCAAGATTTCATAAGATTGGATTTTAAAGGATTTTAATAGAATTTATAAGATTTGAAAGGACAATATGAATTTTTAAGATTTTAAAAAATCATATGAATTTTTAACAAACATTCAAAATTATAAGAGTCAATACAAAAAGTTAACAAAGAAATGCAATGATATTAATAAAAAAAGTAAAACGTAATATAAATTTTCCAATGGGATAGGATATTGTGACACCCAAGTTATGTTACACCCATGTGACACCCAGTCAATCTCACCGTTAGATCGCTTATGTTGATCCAACGATTATATTTATTTTCATCTTTGTATGGTCATGATTTACCAAATTTAAAGTGAAAGCATTAAATATGAGAAATCATAACCATACAAAGGTAGTAAATATAAAATATTAAATTTGAGAAATCATGACCATACAAAGATGGAAATAAATATAATCGTTGGATCAACATAAGTGATCTAACGGTGAGATTGACTGGGTGTCACATGGGTGTAACATAACTTGGGTGTCACAATATCCTATCCATTTTCCAATTAGTAAAATTCATGATAAATTTTCGTTTGGAACTTTTTGCAATTGATCTTGTAAACTATGGGGTTTTGTTATACGTGATGAGAATTTTCTAACCATATATCATAAGCATATTTTCATTGAGAATTCCAAAAAAATTTAGAATCTGAATTTCTGAATTTTATTACATGAAAATTTAGAAAATTTATCAAATTATTTTCACTCGATACATTGAAATCTTAAATTGCTTTGGGGGTTTTGAAAAATAAATTTTTAATTATCTATTGACACAAAAATTGTTTGAAATCATTTCTTATATAGCGAAGGAATTTCGTTCATGAATGTATTATTATAAAACATAGGGTTCATATTATGAAAGTTTAAATCTTTCTTTAAATCGATCTTGTTTTATTTATTTAAAATAAAAATTGGTTTTGGATTTTTTATTCCCTTGTTTTTTTCACTATTTTATGTTATTTTTAATACAAAAAGCACACATTTTCTTAGAGATCAAACTTGTTAAAATAGGTTTGTGACTTGATTTCTGAACAATCTTTTTAATAAGCTCGAACTTATATTTTTAAAATAGGGCAAGTCAGGACATACGAAAGACAGATCAAGTTATAGGCTCCTGAAAAGTCAGTTGACCCATTTATATCTTTTTATAAGTTCTAACCCTCTATATGATTATCATTTTGTTGATAATGTGTATGAATTTTATTTTTAAAGATAACAAAATTAAATACAATAGTAGAAACTGAAGTGGTATTACGCTCAAATTTTTATATCACGGCTCCATGTAATATTAATATTTTATTTATAATCTATATAACTAATTTAATGTTATGTATATCTTTGCAGTGTAAAATTTGGGAATTATTCTTGATTTTAAACTACAAACTGGAGTGCTGCTGATGGATGGGCTGCCATTGATTTTCAAGCTGGAGATGTCTATTGCTGGCCTTCAAATTTAGGATGGGTGATAGGACCGACCAACTGTATTATATCATTGTTTTC